TACTTTTTACAAATATTCCAGAGAGTTCCTCCTTCTCACACACATAGCCTGCAACAGTGATGCCCAATCCATACACATTTTTATTTAAATCCACATGAACAATCTCAATCTCAGGCTCATTCGGGATCTCCACAGGTACAGTGATAGTGATGGTGGGTGAGATGGCATCAGATATGATGGGGTGGTCAGGGATCTGCTGAGGGTTGTCACCAATCACACTGACAGCAGCAGCCACGAAGCTGGGCTCAGCCACACCATTCTGAGAGTTGATGTAGTCGGTGAAGCACTGAGACAGATCGTACACTGCACCATAGCCAGTTTCTATGAGGTGTCGGTCTAGCAGCTCGGGATCGCCGAGGATTTTAGTAGGGACTAGCGCAGTGCCGGGAAGCGGGGCACGTAAAGCCGCAGCAGGGTCGGCCGGGCGCGCGACCAGCAGTCGCACTGCAGGGCCTGCCTGGCGCAACACTGCAGCGACTTGCTCCGAAGTGAAGCCGCGCAGGTTGACAGACCCGACTTGGAGGACGTGGTCTCCGCTCTGCAGCCGCCCGTCTTTGTCCGCTACTCCGCCCGGTAGCACGTACTTGATGACCACCCCTGTGCTGCGCCCGCCTACAAGATTAAACCCCAGGCCGTTTCCATCATTAGTGAGCTCGACAACTTCAACCTGCGCCCACTCGGTACTCAGCACCATCGCGGTTCTTCTCACCATCAGGGCACTCCCGTCGTTACGTGATGTTGCGAGCGCGCGCCGCGCGGAGGTTAGGAGCTCCCAGCGCCGCCATCATTACGTTTATGTCACAGAAATTATCACAAAACACACGAGAGATCACGAGAACTCAATACGGACCGCTGATAACATAAAAATTGTAAAATAAAATAATATGTGACATTTACATACTTGCTGAAATCGGAGACAGCAAAATGTGGCCAGCTGCGCGCAGGGGTGACCGACGAATAATTCAATTTCCTACTAATACATTTTTAAATGTCAAATAATAAACACTTTTTTAGTTTAGTCCTTAATTTTAGAAAATAATAAATTACATCTAATTGCAACAACTATTTGAAGGAAAATAAGTATTAAGCAATTAAACTATATTTTTTGTGTTTACTCTCACAGATGGCACTAAACAGCAAAAAGCAAAATAGTCACAATAAAAGGGACATGAAGTTTCAATAATGTAACAATAGAGGACGCTAGCTATTTTTAGACTTCATTCTAGTGTTGGATTTCGATTAGAAACGGTTAGAAAGACTAAAAGTACTTACTTAGGTGGTTATTCTACTTGTCACCAGGTGGCGTGATAGTGCTATCGACTCATTTTTTGAGTTGAGGTTTTTTTAAGTACTTACGTAATAGGTTAGCATTTGGACACAAACTTGCCGTTACTCGCCTAGTACACGGTGATGAGGCCGACAATGGAGTACCCCTACCCTCTTGTGAAGCTGTATCCTTCGGGAAACGTCTCTGGCAACGTGTGGCAGCTAATTGAGCTTTGTTTATTTCCAGAACGTTTTCTATTACTATGAAATCCCAGGAGTCCTACAGGGTTCACATATGAGACCGATTATATTCAACAATTTCATTAATAAATAGTGTATCTACATGTCTATCTGTTATTTCAGCACTTGACCCTTTTATATTTTGTTGTTGCTGTTTGCTGTTGACTTGAAAATGAATGGAGTCTTGATAGACATGTTCAAGTACATAGACTAAGATTGAAATATTGTACTGCATGGTTATCGCGGCGGTTGCCGCGATACCCTTCACGATACTTGTAGCGGGTTCGATTTCCGCACGGCACTACTCTTTTTATAATCCACAAATTTTTGTTCCGGGCCTGGGTGTATAGTAAATTTTATGTGAACTTGTATTTTTGTAAACGCACTCACGACACGAGAAAAACGTAGTGTGGCGTAATGTTTATAAAAAATAAATAAAGAAAAAATAAAGAATATGTACCTATAATAAGCACCGAAAATGCAAGAAATCTCGTTTGATTTGATAAAAAAATGTTATCTGAGGAATTGTGAAAAAGGAATAAAATATAATGGTATTATAGAAAGTAAATATATACCTATATTATTACCTAAATAAATACCTACACAGTACTAGATATATCAGTAGAGTGACGCATCCTGAAGCCGGCTTATCGATTGACTCACGGTATTGTGTATGCAGTGACCGCGGCATTCAGCTGCTGGTCGAAATTACACATTAAAACATTTATTTATATTATAATTATCTGGAGTGAGAGAGGATCTAGCAACATTGTTTCTGTGATTACAAGGTAACAAGCTTATTTCTTTTTAACCGACTTCCCAAAAAAGGAGGTCTCAATTCGTCTGTATGTTGCTTTTTTTGTGTGTGTTACACGACTACTCCGGCGTTTGTGCACGGATTTTGATAACTCTTTTTTTGTTAGTTAGATTTTAATATTCTCGAGGAGGTGGTACCGTATTCGCTAGGTCTGGATCCCATATTCCCTCATGATGGGATCCCAGGGAAAATGAGGGGAATTTTTAAAAATTGTATGGGGTGGTTAGATAGTTTTTAAAATTTATTATTAGTATTTAAAACTACTGCAATTTTGTGAAGATGTGGAGTTGATGTGGTGATAGAGTCGAGAGACAGTCGAGGGAACTCCTCGAGGATTTGCAGCAATGACTCCGTGTTTGGGCTTAATTTGTTTGTATTGATTGGAACTTTACCTAGATGGGGTGAGATTGTCACCATGGGCCTGATGATGAAGTAGTGTGATAGCTATAAGGGAACTCCTCAACGGTTAACAGCAGATACCTGGTGTTTGGACTTGATTAATTTGTATTGATGAAAATTTAACTTTTTTACTTTCTAGTTTTTACCATGTCTTTGTTGGTTTTTAAGTCGGTTTTTTTATTAAGTTGTACTAGGAGATCCATTAGCTTGTTAGCTTCTCTGTAATAACTACACACGCCATTTTCGAAATAGAGGTGCAGTGCTTGGTTTAGCTTTTCTGTAAATATATTATTACTCACTTTGCCCGAGTGATTGAACAGGTTATTGTCTACGGGAGACTATGAGACTACAATAACATGAGTTATTTATAACTATATCGCTATATCCAACATTGGAAAAGCTAGAAAACTAACTCATGCCATGATGCCAATATAGACAGCTCAAATCTTAGATACTAATTATTATAAATGCTAAAGTTTGTGTGTTTCTTTGTTGCTCAATTATGTAGCTAAACGGCTGAAGGGATCGGGATGTAAATCGGAACAGGGGCAAAGTATAGTCTGGATTAAAACAGTGGCTAGGTAGTTTTTATGTCACGGGATCGCAGGAGAAATTGCTGGCAGAGGCTAGCTACTTATAAATAAAGAACCAATTGCAGCTCCAAACAGTCATCGAAACTACATGAGTCAATAGTAAATAATGTATAATTACGATACCTGTACCTACCTTCACACACCAAAGTAGTCACAGAGCCAATTTAGATTAGACCATACAGTTGTTATCTTTTACAAGTATTTAGATTAAGAAATACGTAGATATTATGAAGTACGTACTTATCTTTTACCTATAGAACTATAACTTCTCTCTAGGACAGTGTTTTTCAACCTTTTTCTTGATGCGAGCCCCCTGGTATATAAAAATATTTCGCGACCCTTCACACATACGTGTATGTTACAGTATTACCAATAATCATATATTATATAATCATATATAATATATTATTCGCGATATACGAAGTATTTCGCGGGACGATCTCCGGCCACCGTAAGCGCGAGCCTGCGGACGGCGAGCATGGGTGGCTCCCCATCCGACCAGAAACAGACATGAGCGTACGGCGCGTTGCGTTCCGCGCGCCGAAATGAAATGTTACGACCATCTACAAAAAAACCCTCTGGTGGCGAAACGGAATTCGCCGAGTTTGTTAGTCGGATATAAAAACGTATTATTTTAAAATTGCATTACACCTGGAATTCAAGTCTTCTAATTTGGATACCTTTAGGTTAATGAGAAAAAACGTCTTTATGGCGACAATTATTGTAATTCGGGTTTACTGTGATTGACAATAAACCACAGTGCATTATTTGCTTTGAAAGCATTTTAATTATCAAGAGAAAGCTTGAAGCCATAGAAGTTGTTGCAGAGAACCTAACGGGTAACCGGGGCTCCGGCTCGACGTGCAGGAACGGGGTGGTTTTTAGTCAGTAAGAGTCTGACACTCCCTTCCGCCTCACCCAGGCGAGAGCAGTCATTCGATGATTTTCCCCCTTAAAAAAATAAAAATAAAAAAAGCCATAAACGTTAACACGCCACCTTAATTTTTTGAGAGTAAATTGCAAGCTCTTCAACATCAAAAAACTGGTATTGTACAAATGTCCAATCTAAATGGGAAACCGTTACTTGCTAGTTATAGAGTGGTTTTTCGTGTGGCTAAAGCAGCAGTAAGTAAGAGTAATTTTAGAGTCTTACTTAAAATATAAATATTAATTGTCTTCATTGTTTTTTTTTACTAAAGTACCCAGTTTTTTCGACTTTTGGCGACCCCCCTACAGACGCTTCGCGACCCACAGTTGAAAAACACTGCTCTAGGGTATTCCCCGACTGTGTTTGTTGCGCTCTGTCATTCCATCCGGTCCGAATGTTATTATTTACTTCACTAACAACTATACTATCATTATAACATGTAGATATGTACAGGTAGACCTCGCTAGAGTCCACTGCTGTAACATCGGTCTCCTCTACAAAAGAGGGGTTTCCTTCGCTCGTCATAAAGTCAAAGTCAAAGCATTTATGTCAATGGAACTCTAATTTGCTACCCTACTTGTTCTAAAATGTATATTCGAATAGCTCACCCCCTATAACATAGGACTCATAACATAGGTAAATAGTGAAAAGTGATATGCACTTCTGCCTACCCCTTCGGGAATAAAAAGCGTGATGTTATAATAATTAATTTAGTATGTCTATCGAAAGTAATAAATATGAAATACTTTGTTCTTAGATGACTGAAAACGACACTGCACGGAGCATCGAGCTGGGCGACGACAGCGACCATACGTCTGAGGTAACAGTGCGTTCTGGAAAACATTTCAGACGAAACTACTATAAGACTGAGTTAGACTGACCTCACAGAAAACCGACGTGAAGCACCGCTTGCGTTGTGTTTCGTCGTGTGAGTGAGGTTACCGGAGGCCCAATTACCCTCCCCTTCCCCAACTCCCCAATCCCTGAATCCCCAACGATCCTCAAACTCCTAATCTCTTGTAACGCCTCTGGTGTTCCAGGTGTCCATGGGCGACGCCGATTGCTTACCATCGGGTGATCCGTCTGCTAGTTTACCGGCTTATGCCATAAAAAAAAGACTGAGTTATACTCAGTGTTATAGTAGTTTCGTCTTACTTAGTACTTAGTCTTTCTTCTATAAAAAAAACTAACAAAGAAAAACGGGTTACTCACGTTACAGGCAAAAGGTTTCGGCCATTTTTGTCCATAATGACTAATTTAATTTGAATATATTCTCACAGACGTTTGCGACATCGATACAGACAGAATAATAAAAGCGATTTGGTACAATCAGAAAAAAAAGCGTCACAAAAATATGTATGTACCTACCTCTATATTTTTGGTGGCTTTTAAGTTCTAAGACAAAGAGACCGAACATTTTGTACCAAATGTCAGACGGATGAACTAATGTTGGTTTTGTTGATAATATTATTGGTTAAAATCGACTTACAGTACTGTAAAGTGAATATAATTGTATTCAAACAGTAAAGGAACAATAAACTTAAGAATTCGTTCTTTTATTGGGGTTTTTGGAAATACCTATTTTAGGGTAGTTTCTTAAATTTTATTTTAATGTCCATCTGTTAATTTAAAACTTTAGACACGTTTTTTTTTCTCACAAAATTAAATATTTTCGATGTTACATTAATTTAAAATATCGTGTGACGTCACAGCGTGCCACATTTTGTAGCACTGAATGACGTAACGACCACCACTCCTAAACTTAGCGCCATTTTATCTAAGTATTGCAACTTAATACGGGAAAATAAAAAAATACGTGTCTAATTGTTTTTTATTATCTAACAGACGGACTAATTAGATTTTTAATTTTGATACCCTGGAGACTACCCAATTATGTAAGGTCTATCACGTTTCTTTTAGGTTGAGAATGCCAAAGAACAGTCACCGGGAGCAAGTAATGCCGCTGGTAGCAGTCGGAATAGTAAGTTAACTTTGTTATATAACAGAAGCCATGTAACATGTCGTGGTGGCTCGGAGGTTTAAGACGCCCACTTCTCATGCATGAGGATGCGGGTTCGAAACCAACCAACGGCAAGTACCAATGTGACTTTTTCCGAGTTATATGTACTTTCTAAGATTATTTAGACACCACTGACAAACGGTGAAGGAAAAACATCGTGAGGAAACCTGGACTTATAATTTCTAATTATAAGTTTGAAATCGCCAACCCGCATTGAGCAAGCGTGGTGATTAATGCTCTAACCTTCTCCGTGTGAGAAGAGGCTTTGCTCAGCAGTGGGCATTTATATAGGCTGTTGATGACATGTAACATGTACAAACATAACATGATGATTCCCCGAAGAGGAAGGTCGGGGCGCATTAATTGTACGTTACATCCACAGGCATACATATTTATAAAGGGCACAATTCCAGACTCCGTGCCCACTACTGAGAATTTGGAAAATTCAAACAATAAAGGTTATCGCGCTTACAGCTTTTTTATATTGACGTTATGAAACATGTCGTGTGACATACGATTTAAAGTTCATATTATTTAGATGCCTCTGCCTCTAGACTGCCTCATTGGCCGAGTGGTCGCAAGTGCGACTGCCAGGCAAGGGGTCTCGGGTTCGATTCCCGGGTCGGGCAAAGTATTACTGGGTTTTTCAAAAAATCACAGTAGTATCACGGAGTCTGGAATTGTGCCCGTGTCAATAGGCTCACCCCATATTACATGGGACTCATAACGTAAATAGTGAAAAGTGGGTGTTACATTGTACAATGGCATAATGGCAACCCCTTCGGGGATAAAAGGCGTGATGTTATGTTATGTTATTATTTAGATGACAATGACGTTGGTTGGGTTTGAAGCCATGCCGGAGCAGTGCTTGTTAGGTGTGCAATATACTGTTCCACAGCCCGGTATAATAACTTTGCTTACGACCAGGCGAGATAGTAGCAAAACATTAGCCTATCTATACTAATATCTATACTAATATTATAAAGAGGAAAGATTTGTATTTTTGTATTTTTGTATGTTTGTAATGAATAAACTCAAAAACTACTGAACCGATTGCAATAATTTTTTCACCATTCGAAAGCTGCATTATTCAGAAGTAACATAGGCTATATAATATCACGCTAGGTCCTATAGTTGTGGAGCAGTAACCAAAAATGTTTTAAAAACGGGGGAAAAGTATCGTTTCTGAGGCCTTCCGTGGCGTGCGCTGAGCATATAGTTAAAGTTATACAAAAATGTTCTATAGATGAATTGTTTATCTTAACATTATTTTTAAAAAAGTCCGCGAGAGCATATGTCTACCTTTTATAGTTTACCCATAACAATCGTTTTAATGAATGGTTCAATCCTTATAAAAGTTTGCTCTAGATAACTTTTGAATTGTTCAATCGGTTACCTTAAGACGCGACGTCGACAACGGAGGGCAGGTCGCTAAAAAAAAACTGAGAATAAATATAAATAAAACGTAAAACTATGTAAAAAATCTTAAGTCCCCCCGTGCGAAGCCGGGACGTTCCGCTAGTCAAGTATAAATACAAACTCCACACAAGGTTTCAGCAGTGAAACTTGCGGACATTCAAGTAGCAAGATCATATTATTTGTAACTTTATTCTGACTAGCCTGCCTCGTCGGCTGAGTGGTCGCAAGTGCGAGGGGTCTCGGATTTGATTTCCGGGTTGGACAAAGTAGTACTGGGTTTTTTCAAAAAATCTCAGTAGTAGCACGGAGTCTGGACATGTGCCCGGTATATGGCAATAGGCTCAACCCCTAAATTACACGAGACTCATAACATAAATAGTGAGAAGTGGGTGTTACATTGTACAGTGACATATGCCATAAACACCAACGTACTTGTGTCTGCATCTGTCCACAACAGATGCAATACTGACTTCACCACTGTTACTTAATTCACGACCGTCACCAGCGCCACCAGCGCCACCACCGCCACCACCGCCACCACCGCCTGCACCCGATGCTGAAGCTGGCAACATATTCGATGAAATTCTCCAATACTTCGCGAAGCAATATCCTGCACAGCGTTTTCCTCCCGATGTTGCGCGCCTTGTCGACAGGTGTCGCCGGGAGGCAAGTAGATTGGTAAGCCATTATTTCATAACGTTTATGACATTTAGGTATAGTATCTCCCTGCCTTACACCTTGCGTTAGAAGATTTAGTCCTCAAGTGCTGCATCTGTATTCGGATCGAATAGTGACGTTTTTATAGGAACTTTAAACACCTCGGTCTGCGACTGATCTAACAGGTTTAGTAATAAAGACGACTAATTTTTATTTTAATGTCCGTCTGGTAGATTATTAATTAAAACATTAGACACGTATTTTTTCTTTTTTTACAGAAACGATTACTGTCGGGCGATATATTGTTTTGAAATGTCGCGTGACGTCACTTCTACGCACATTTTATACGTAGAAATGACGTTTTAGCCCCCACTCCTAAACTTGGATTCGTTTTATCTAAGTATTGTTTTATTATAAGACAAAATAAAAAAATATGTGTCTAGAAAGAAAGAAAGAAAAATAAATTTATTCGTCATCAGACATGGACCACCGAAAATAAAACAATATAAAAAACATTAAATAACAAAATAAAAAAAAAACAACAATAAAACAAAAAAACATTATATAAAAAAAAGCAAAATAAAAGAGACCGGGTGGCAGCATGTCCACGACGAAAGGGCTCGCCAACTCAGCATAAGCTGTCTTATATTTTTCATATCATACAAAAATATAAGTCTAATATTTTTTCATTACCTAACTGACGCAGTTATTACATTTTTAATTTTCATACACTGTCATCTTCCTTATTGATACGTATCTATAACTACGATACATTTTCATAGAAATTTGCACTTTTATCGATACTACACTTGTACTAGGTACCATACTCCGCCTTCACCTTTGTCAACTGTGTCCAATGCTAGTATGTTGTTAACATTGGACAAAGCTTAGTAAACAAGATAAGCATTTTATTAATAAATTCATCTATCACTTGTTTTTAAGGTTGCGAGTGCCAACGCACAGTCTACGGGATCAAGTTACGTCGCGGGCAGCAATCAGAATGGTAAGTTAAACATTTATTTATATCTACTAATGAAAGTCTTATAGCTAGCTACAATTCATTTTAAAAGAAAGATATAACATACATATATTTTTGCATAACGAGCTTATTTACCAGAGCCACCAGAGGGGTAAACAGGGCCACGTTGAATGTACCTCTAGATACCTAACTAACTGACAAACATTCGCAAGGTACTCATATTAATTTAGAAAGATTAGATTTCTTGCTTAGTTGCTTCTGCTGAGAATTTTGAAAATTGAAACAATAATGTTGTAGGTACCTACTCTCTCCAATGACTGCCTCGTTGGCCGAGTGGTCGCAATTGCGACTGCCGGGCAAGGGGTCTTGGGTTCGATTCCCGTGTCGAGCAAAGTACTAATAGGTTTTTTAAAAAAATCTTAGTAGTAGCACGGAGTTTGGAAATGTGCCCGGTATATGGCAATAGGCTCACCCCCTATTACATGGGACTCATAATATAAATAGTGAAGAGTGGGTGTAACATTGTACAGTGGCATTGAGTGCCGTAATGTGCACCTCTGCCTACCCCTTCGGGGGTAAAAAGCGTGATGTTACGTTGTGTATAATGTTGTTGCACGACCCGGGAAATATGACTTAAAACTTCAGCCACTGAAGTGGTGAGGTAAGCGCATCGACAGGTATTAACATAAGCAAGGACTTATTGTAATCCTATTCTTACTTGAAATATTAGCTAATCCTTACTTCCTTACTATATATAATATTATAAATCAGAAAGTGAGTTTGTTTGTTTGTTTGTTTGTTCCGCTTTCACACCATAACTACTAAACCGATTGCTTTGAAATTTTGCAGACGTAAAGTTCGAAGTCCGGATTAAATAATAGGGTACTTTTTATCCCGGAAAAAATTGATATTCCCGAGGGAAAACAAAAGAATTGGTATAGATGGCGCTGTGTGTATTGGTATATGTGATATAGGCTACTTTTTATCCTTTTGTGACGCGGGCGAAGCTGCGAGTAAAAGCTAGTATAGTATAAGCTCCTTGTATACTTAGTTACTTATCCACTGCAGATGCTGTACATGGTTCACCACCACCACCACCGCCACCACCACCGCCACCGCTACCGCCACCACCGCAGGCACGGCCGCTACCGCCGCCACTAGACCGGATGCGACTGATAACCGCTAGCCCACCGCTACATGTCAAACAGCCGTCAGACTATAAGAGCTCAGAAATATCGCTCCGCGAGTTATTAAGGAATCGCGAGAGAACCAGAGGCATGCCTCCAGTTACGGGAGATGATTTGACACTAGTCGAGTTAAGTAAATTTTTGTACGAACTCGAAAAGGTGAAGCTCTATCATGAGAGTGAGATACAGACGCTACTGGAGGTAGGACGACTCCAACATGTTCACCAATACACTGTGCTGTTAGAGCAATCGTTAAGGACGATACTGGGAGACGTACATGAAGCACGGATGCGACAACCAAATCAGGAATCTGGGATGCGACGACTCGAATTTGTTCGCGAATACTTCGAGTTGTTACATGAATTGAATACTGTTACTCAACGCATTACTGCTGAAATAGCACAGTATCGACAGTAAACTGTCCCCGTATTACGTTGTATAGGCGGTATATTAAACGTAAACCATATTTTTAATTTTTTTTACGAGTTCTATATATTTGAAAAGAAAACTCCTATTAATACTTTGCATGATCCAGGAATCGAAACCGAGACCCATGTACGCCAATTGCACTTACCGTAATTTCACCAGGCCTCTTGTGTATGCATATTAAATGATTGAACAAAATAATGTTGTTTTTGATTTCATATAATGTATTACGATACATTTTATAGTTATTATAAAACGATCCTAATAATAACATTAGCTGCTGACTACCTCGTTGGCCAACTAGTGCCAAGTTTACACATCTTAAAACCATTCAGTTCACTTCACCATTGCGCTACCAGACAAATGACATAACGTCATTGTTATATGGTACTTAGTTATTCCATACGCTAAACTTGCCGGAGTTTCCAGACTGTCTGTCTTGTATATTCACACACCTTGCTTATAGGTAGGCGTGCTCCGTCATCGGCTACCTATAAGCCACCTTTTGCTTACCACAACATTGCTTAACCTGGTGAATTACTAGCTAAACAGTTACACATTATTACAGTTACAGTACAGGTTAGCACGGATAAAAAAAACCCCAACTAGACTCTACTCTAAAAGACAAAAGGGGTTCTTTTCGGAGACTAGAAGGCGTGATGCTGAGTACATTATTAGTGAACGTAGATAGCAACTACAAGGACACTACGACATGTCCTAGTTCTCCAGTTAGGGACTGAAACTGGAAGAAATAAAGTCTAACAGCAGTTGCTACTGCAGACGGAGTAGCGGGCAGAAACTAGTTTTAATTACACGAAAATAAAAAAGGTACAGGGTGTAAGCGAACCTCCCCCAAAAACGCAGACAGGGGATTCTAAAAAACGAGATTTATTTTGAATAAAAGTAAGGAATTTAATGTTTATTTTATCTATATTTATAAAAATGAAACTCCTTTCCCGTTGTCACGCCATAACTCGAAAACAGCTAGATTGATTTGAGTGATCTTTTTTTGTTGTATTTGTTATTGTCAGGAGAAGGTTCTTACGACAGAAAAAATCCTGAAAATCCTACGGTACCGGGAGAAAACGGGACTGCGCGTACGAAGTCGCGGGCAGAAGCTGGTGTAGGTATTAATAGTTGTTATCAACTGCTCAAAGCGGATGTTGTATGAATAACGCGAATAAAAAATGCTTAAAACTGTAAAATTGTCTGCGTTTTCGGCACCGTCCCGTTTACACCCTGTATTGTTGCCCTCCTTGTATCGTGAACGAATGCTCGAGAAAACTGCTACCGTCGTTGGCACACCAACTAGAACACGCCTGAAGAGTATTATAAGTATTTTGTTCCTAATTATAGGCTCCTTATGTAATCTCTTATAAATATCGACCAAGTCCTTAATCTAGAACACTTGATGACCGTGCCGAATATACTGCGTAGTTGTTAGTATTGTTTTCTATTAGGAAATACTTATCTAAGTGATTGAGTACATGAACTAGTAAGTCAGCGTTCCACTTCCACGACTATTGTACTGTTGTATGTACTAAAATGCCAATAAAGGCTATATTAGATTCTTATTAACAAATGCATGTACTTTACATCGAATTGACTAAAGCGTTGGAATAAATAAAGATTCAAAACTACACTACAAAAGATACGGCATCACAGACGCACTGTTAAATTGGTTAACTTGGCTTAGTACCTTATCGACCTTTCTATGTAGTGGTTAATAGTAAATGGGAAATTGTTTACTGCGCCTCTATTTAGAAATATAAGCAAACAAAATTTCTCCACTTGTAACCTACTGCATATCAAAAAATTACTGTACTACAAATTAACTTATTATTCACCGTAAAACAAAATTAACCCTTAGAGCGCCACGTCAGTCAACGGTGCCTGACGCTAGTGGAGGTTTGACTTTCACCATTTTAAACTTGGCAGTTAAAGTATTAATGATTTGCACACAAATTGTTCAATATTACAACGGAATTTCCAAAATAGGTTAGGTTAGGAATTATTAGATTTACTTTTAGTTAAAAGATAGTTTTTTTTTTTTAAATAAAACATTGCCCCACACTAGGATTTTCTCCTGTGTCGTGGGTGCGTTTACAAACATACAATATCACATACACAATGACACCCAGACCCGAAACAACAATTTGTGGATCACACAAAGTGTTGTTCCGTGCGGGAATCGAACCCGCGACACGTTGCACGGCAGCCGGTTGCACAGCCACCGCACCAACCGTGCAGTCAATAGCTAACAGTATATTATAATTGATTTATTTGATGAGAAAATTTAGTGTGCAATTCAGTATTTTTGGTGGTAATTTCGAATAGATATTTTGAATAAAAAAGGAAATTTACAGTTAACGTATTAAGTACCACCCAAAGTAAATTGGTACGAGTAAAATCTTTTATTAAACCCCAGGAATGCCTCAGGATACACACCTGACACCGATTTTATTCAACTATTATATGAATGAAAACTCGTCAGCAAAAATTAAAGTTAAAGGTATGTTGAAGTCAAGTGGGTTGACAGAAGATTCAAATTAAGGTAAGCAGTAAAACTCCATGAAACATGAACTTGATCTGAAAAATGGGAAAACGATAGACAATATTATAATAAAGAAATAAAACAAAATCTTTCCAGGAAAGAGATTTATTATTACCTAAGTACCTAAGCAGTTTTATATCAGTAGAGTGACGCATCCTGAAGCCGGCTTATCGATTTACTCGCGCTAGTGTGTATGCAGCGTTGACGCCATTCAGCCGCTGTTTGGGAATTATTAATTCAAACAACACTTAATAATTATAATATTTGTACCGAGTGTGACAGGATCCAGCAACATTTTTCTCTAATGTGATCACAAGGTAATACATTTATTAGTTTTCGTATAATTCCATGTGCTGTGCTGTGCACGTGCCAAGAAAGAATATGAGGTTGTTTCTTTGTTTTGTTTAGTTATCCTACAGGTTACGACGAGATCTGTATTATGATTACTTATTATAAAATATTTCAATTATATGTTTATAATATGTAATTGAAATCAATTAGACCCATCAGTCAACACAGTGTCCCAGACGTTATCTGAACACGATAACTAACTGCACAGACAGCTTGTCTGTGAGTGTATTGTTTGTTTTGCTTATATGTACATACTCTGGCACAGCTTTACATAGGTTAGGTATAATTGATATGGTGGACTCCAATGAAGTTAAAATATTTTTATTTATTTAATCGGTTTTGTCTGTTGGAGTCCTAGGAACTACATCGCCCAGTACAAGAAAAGCAATGTAACTTACAAGTATGTTATTTATCAATTCATTAGTCCCTCATTCCCTATTTTAACTATTTATTTTACGCTTTGTGTACATAATACATAGAATGGGGCGTGGAACTGAAAGACAGCTTGCCTAATTAAAATGAATTTGCTAACAGTCCGTTCACCTTAGAGTGATACAGAGATCCGTGCCAGTTTGCGTAAAACTTTTGCATAAAAAGAAAATGAAAAAAAAAAACACTATCAAATCATCATCATCACTATCAGTAAATATCCCACTGCTGTAAAACGGCCTCTCCTCGCACAGAGAAGGAATAAACACTAATCACCAAACTTGCTCGAGACGTATAAATCCTAAACCATAATCAAAACTTATAATAGGTAGGTACACAAAATTGGTTCTCCCATTGCAATTGCACTCGTTAGTAACACAGGCCTCTAGATTAGTCCAAGCGTTTGTTATCTTTTATAGGCATTCAGATTAAGAAATAGGTACCTAGATAATATAAATAAGTTATTTGTACCCAAATATCCTTATCTTTTGTTCCCAGAATTGCAATCTTTAGGTACCTACGTGCCATATGTATGAACTTAAAAACAATTCAGTTTACTGATAGGTTACCGGTACCGGTTCACCGCGCCTTTGACTGCCGACAGAAAACCGCTGAAGGCAAATCCTCCGCTAACGTAGGTCACACGGTCTCCGGCCACCGTAAGCGCGGGCCTGCGGACGGCAAACATGGATCGTGGGTAGCTCGCCGCCCGACCAGAACCACACCTGAGCATGTGGCGCGTCGCGTCCCGCGCGCTCCTCAAAGAGCCATCAGACCACCATGGATGAGGCCCAATAGGAGTCGCGGAGAACCTAACAGGTTACCGGGGCTCCGGCTCGAAGTGCAGGAGTAGGAACGGGGTGGTTTTTAGTCAGTAAGAGTCTGACACTCTCCCGCCTCACCCAGGCGGGAGCAGTCATTCGATGACCTATCCGCGGCGGGGAACGTGTTAATCGGACGGATCACCGTCTGCTCATATCAAAATGACTGTAGGTATATGCACATCTTTAAAGTTGAACTAGCGATAATTAACAACCCGTTGCTTCATACGTGCTCCGTGGCGTGACGCCACGCCTGTGCCACTGCACGGTTGGCGCGGTGGCTGGGCAACCAGCTGCTGATTACCAGGCGAGCAAAATGCAGGCAGCAGGGGCGCGTGCTGCCTACATTTTTTAAATAGAATTTAAAATGTTATTGTTCATGCTCTTCCGTTCATAGTGGGCGGCGGTGCTATGGTATCTGTCAAAATATACATATGATTAATGATGGAATAATTATTTTTAGATGACTGGAAACGACCGACATTACTTTGAATATGGCGATGGTAGCGGTCCCTCCAAGGTAACAATGTGTTACTTATTCTTCTTATTACATTTATTTATTTAGACATCTGGTAGCTAAGCCACGACGACATACCTATCGTTTTATTTTTATTGTTATGTTTTTGTGCTTATAGATATTTTAAATTACTTAATTATTTTGAGATATTTGTAAATAACATCACGCCTTTCATCCCCGAAGGGGTATGCCAACGAAGCATATTTGGAAATCATAGGATAAAATGGTGTTCACAGACAATTAGCCTTAGTGCCAAACTGGCGACCAACGCTGGAGATGGCGACATAGCCGATAAACTTCTCCAGTATATCAGGGAACGATATCCTGGACCACAGCGCCTTCCTCTTGACGTTGAGCGCCTTGTCAACTTCTGCCGCCTGAAGGCAAATAAATCGGTGAGTCGTACAATACATAGCAACATAAATTTTATTCCATATAAGGGTGCTTACATCAAGAAACAGTACTGTAACTTATACTTTATATTCCATTAAATAATGGGATATTTATAAAGTAACATTTATGGAAAAAAGAAATATATGTACCTATTACCTGATAATATTAAGTATTTCAAAAAATAAGCTTTTAAAGGCAAAACATCTTTTGAAATTGGTTTAGTAATTTTGAAGGCTACATGTTGAACAGAGAAACAGTAAATTCTGTCATCTTAATTGTCATCTAAATTAATTTAAATAGGTATTTCACACATTTCCTGTTCATTTTCAGGTTTCACCACCCAAGAAAAGAAAAAATACACGTTTCTCGCAAGATCCAGAATACTTAGCAAGGAAGAAGAAATTAGACGAACTTAAGTGTAAATTGTCAAAGTCTAGGGCAGAATTTCGTGACTTCATGGTCTCCAAACAGGTAAAGAATAGAAAGGAACTCATACAAAGACATCAGCGTCGGCTCCAAAATAACGTACAAAAACTTACGGATTACGCAGAAAAGAACAATATCGATGTAGACAAAGATATTTCAGATTTAAAAATACAGATAATGAAACCAGGCGAGGGTAAAGATAAAGAAGAAAAGAATAATATAAAAACTAAACCAGATGATGAAAATAAGCGTCTGAAAAATAAGCGAGGCCAGATAATAACTAAAGAGCAGAAAAGCGTCGGGGAAATGCAACATGAATATGACTTGATGAAACAAAAATCTGAAAAGAAAATAAGAGATTTGCAAGAGCACCAAGCTAAGGAAAAAACAAGAATACAACACGAAATTCACAGAATTAAGAAACGAGAAGAACAAGTCATCCGCATTATCAAAACACTCCAGGAAAAAGTTGATAAAAAATTGATGAAGGAAAAAACAAGTCATGCTATTAAAATACGAGAATGGCGTAAAAAAAGGAACGAACTTGAGCAACAATATATAATAGCTAGTTCTGAGCTAAACAAAAAAATTGAGAAATTTATTAAAATTAAAGATGAAAAGGAAAAAGAAATTCACGAAAAAATTAAAAGTCTTCACGAAAAAGAAACACAGGAGAGGGAGGGTTTGAAAGAAAGAATTAAACAATTGCAAAATACTTATGATAGTGAAAAGATAGAATTCGAAAACAAAATGCGAATTTTACAACACCAAGAGGATGAAATTAAATATGAAATATATAACGAAATACAAAATTTGAAACAACGTCAACAAAGAAAGGAAGAAGACAAAAATAAAAATATCGAGAGTTTACAAAACATTTTAGCTGAAAATAAAGAGGATTATAATAAAAATATACAAAGTATAAATCAATGCTTGGCAACGGAAGATAGTATAATAAGAAAAGAAATTGAAAACAATAAAAAACGCGAAGCTAAGGCACGACTTGATATGGAGAATAAAATTAAAGATTTAAAAAACCAACTAGCTGAAGCTGAAACTCAAGCTAAGCAGAATATCGAGAGAATGCAACGAGAGGCAGATGAGAAGGAGAATGAATATAACATTAAAATACAAGAATTACAAGCAAAAGAAAAGAGAATTAATGCAGAGACGGATACGAATATGTTTGTACTGAAAAACAATTTTGCCATAGCTCGAAACGAACTCAATAGAAGAATCCAATTGTTAAAACAAGATGAATCTTTAAAAAAGCAGCAAATAGAAGCTGATATTAAGCGTTTGCGAGATATTGAAGAAGAGAGAAAGGCTAATATTAAAGAATTGGAAGATCAGTTAGCGAAACATTCGAATGAAATCGAGCAAGAAGAACAAAGAAGTGCTGATGTAATAGCCGAATGCCAAAAAGAAATAGAAAAAGCTATGGAAGTTCAAAAAAATAAGAAAAAAACCATGGACCAAAATATTACTAATTTAGAAATTACACTAATTAAGCTAAAATCGGACGTGGAGGAAAGTTGTAAGATAAAAGAACAAAGAGAGCAAGAAATACAAACAATGAAAAACATTGAAACACAAAAGAAACAAGAGCTACAAAATATCATCAAAACATTAGAAGATGAGTTAACTGCATATAGAGTTCAATTCGATGAAAGCATTAAGACGATGCAAATGCAAGAAGCTATAAAAACCAGGGAAGTTCAAACTCAAATTAAAAGCATGAGAGAAAGCAAAGCTCAGCAGGAAGATATTCACAGGAGGAATCTGAAAACATTACAAATGTCAGTGGACAATCAAAGGGAACAATTGCAGAGGGAAATTGAGGCTTTGCAGCAGATTGAGGCTGAAAAGACCCACAAGATAGAAAACGACTTACAAAACCTCCAAGCTACTAAGGAAAGGGCGCGCGCCGAGACCGAGAGCAATATCGCTGCGCTACGACAACATGAAGAGCAGACGAGAATAGAAATTGAAAATGAGATACAAAACTTCCGAGAACAAGAGAAGAGAGAGCGCGCTCAGATAAAGATCAACATTGCTGCACTTCAAGAAGATAAAGCGCAGAGACGAATGGAAATAGAAAGAGAGATACAAAGCCTCCGAGAAGATGAAGAGAGAGTACGTGCCGAAACAGCCAGCAACATCACTGCACTACAACAACATGAAGCGCAGAAGAAAAGGGAAATTGAGAGTGAGATACAAATCCTCCGAGAAAATGAGGCGAGAATACGCGTCGAGACTAACAGTAACATCGCTATTATGTTGCAGGCTAAAACGAATGTCCAAAGTAGTATAGCTCAACTCGAGAAACTTTATGGTGAGACAAAACAAGCGCACGAAGCAGATATTGAGGACTTGAAACGACAAGAAGCTGAAGAAAGGGCTACTATTGAGGAGAATATTAAAGCGTTGCAAGATGAGTTGGTTTTGAGAAAAGAAGAATTTCAAATAGTCATAGACTCTCTGCAACGAGACGAGGCCAGAATACAGAGAGAAATCGAAGCTGAAATTGAAAAACTGGACGATGCTGAGACCAACAGGAGAGAAGAACACAATAAAATTGTCGATGATTTTAAGTTTAAGTTGTGCGAAAAGAAATCTCAAGTAGAGTCTGAAATTCAAAGGATACATGAAATTGAAGTTCAAACAAGAGAACAAATAGAGGGACACTTCCAAGCTCTGGAAGCTATACTAGCTGGGACCATGAACAGATAGTGTAATAAGCAGATGTTAGTTTTTATAATAACAGTCTCTTTAATATTTTTATTGTTTACTCTCTATCTATCTCTGTCTAATAGAGTGTTTTGTAAGAAAAATAAACAATGCGCGCACTTACCGACCACGAAAAATCTGGTCATGGTTTGTGTCGGGGCAATGATACAGATTATGAGCTAGAATAGTTTTAAGTAGTATAATGTTTCAAAATCGACATAATTATAGATAAATGATAGTGCATGTTGTATGTTAATTAACTATGTACAGAATATTTTATAAAAGCTTTTTATTAAATGTTCCTTTTGAATCAGTGTTTTATTGAGAGTTGAAAATAAAGTAATTTCCAAATATTAATAGAAATAACCCGAACGAGGCCAAGAGAATTTATAGACTCCACTAAATACACGTGCCATATAAAAATAATTTACTCATTTTAATAGTAGAGGTATAAGCTCGTAGTATAGGCGAGCGACGGAGCCCAGCTGCTGGGGCTGCTACTTCTGTCTTCAGAGTTTGACGTACCTAACGAATGGCGTTACCACTGCAATGCCATGATAGAATCCAAATTCTGTCCTATCTGTCTACCGTGCCTGGTTGCTCATATGTTCTGCTTCTTGGCTAGGTAGTAACTTTATTTGCCGTCCCAACTAAAAAAAAAAAAATTATGTGACAAGATCTGTAAACATGATGACGGTTTACGTTTCATTCTACGGGTTGATGTTGATTTTTCTAGAAAAACAAATTAATTACGAATTTACGAAATGGTTTCATGATGGTGTTGATGGTGAGTGGCGAAGTCCCTTGCTCTGCACATCCAGAAACCATGAAGAGTTACAACTTATTTCTTGATCTTAATTAATTAATTTATGTATAAGTATGTACGTGTCATATTCCTTACCTACGCAGTAGTTTATCAGTGGAGTGACGCATCCTGAAGCCGGCTTATTGATTGTTTTGCGGTAGTTTGAACGCAGTGTCCGTGCAGTTTAGGCGCTGTTTGTGAATTATTATTCATCGTTTAGATTTAATTACTTTATAAATAACAATATTTCTACAAATACAGGTGAGATAGGATTCAGCAACGTCTTCTTTGAATGTGATCCGAGGTAAGAAAATAGCTTTCGTGTAGTTAGATTTGTGAGATTATAAAAATAAGTTTTGTGAAAAGAGTAACGATGTAGTTTCTTGCTCGTTCTTCTCCATTCGAAACTACCCTTTGGAACGAGCACGTAGCTTCCCTAACAATTCATGTTGACATTTCGAAAGTGCCTAATCGAGGTTTAATTGAAATAAATGCTTTGACTCTACATGTGCCTCGGTCGTGTTGTTTAGTGATGCAAGTTTAGACGTAGTTTCTGTTATCAGTGTACCTAATAAATGCGTAGGCACTCTAGAAACTCTAATAGATTCGATATAGCCAGTACATAAGACAATATTATACAAAAGTGGTCCGTCCGTGCCATTGCAAATGCACTAGTCATTACTTTTATATTGTATTTATTTAAAACGTTGCCGCACACTCGGATTTCCTTCTGTGTCATGAGTGTATTCACAAACATACAAACTCACATACACACACACCCACACCCGGCACAACGATTTGTGCATCACACAAAGAGTTGTTTAATTCCTTCACTTTTAACTTTTCTGATTTGTTATCTTTTATAGGCATTCAGACCAACAAAGACTTTAAATAATGTAGATAAGGCATCTCTACCCAATTAACTTTATCTTTACTGTAGGGAAGGACGATGTTTATATCTGTAGTCTAGGGTACTCCCCGTACGTCGGTAGTGCGCTGTCAATGTGTCCTATTAATATTGTAAATGCGAAAGTTTGTATGTTGCTCCTTCACGTCCAACGGCTGAAGGGATCGGGCTGTGGAACAGGGGTACAATATGGTCCGGAACAATATATGATACTACTTGTCTACCACGGGGACGCGGGCGAGGATAGTTTATTTTATTTTATTTTAAAAGACTTCATGCACATACTATTGTACAAGGTGGGCTTAATGCCTAGGGCATTCTCCTCCAGCCAGACCTTTGGGTGATGCAGAGACAAAAACAGTGGTCGATGCAAGAAGCAAGCGTATTTAAGACTCAACAGAAATGCATAAAAAAAAGGATAGTATAGACTTACATAAAATAAATTCCTATATAAACTTACATGTATATGACATAACAATAAACCTACATAATTATATTACATATACTACTTAGACGTAACATAACTATACATAGTATATTGATAGTTACGACTCTGCCAACCTCTTCAAAAGTAGCTCCCGCACCTTCCGCTTGAATGACAAACGACTGGGCACCATCCTGATATCGGGAGGGAGCGCATTCCACAGAAGAATAGACTGAATAAAAAAGGAGGAATGAAGAAATTTAGTACGATGTGTTGGACATTGGAGGAGGCGATTATTAGAAGAGCGAAGATATTTGCTGTGGTTTGCGCATGTATATTGGAAGTGAAAGGACAGATAATGAGGCGAATGAGGTGAGTCAAGAACAGAGAAAAGAGTGGTTAGCGCCCTTAGTTCCCTGCGCTGTCGTATGGGCAACCACTTTAATTGCAATCGGTATGCAGAAACATGATCATATCTACGCAGGTTGAAAACGAATCGAATGCAGTTATTCAGAAGTCGGTCAAGTTTATTGAGGAGATCTGCATTCAGGTCATAATAACACACATCAGCATAATCAATAATAGGGAACAACAGGGCCTGTACCAGCATTGCCTTGGTGTCGGACGGGAGCAAGTTTTTAACGCGATAAAGAGCCCGCAGCGATCCAGTCACCTTTTTGCTCACACTAATGACCTGTGCATGCCAGTTAAGATTGCTGTCAATATGTAAACCGAGGTCTTTGACGTCGCTAGTAAACGGAACGATCGCACCGTCGAAAAGGACAGCGGGTAGAGATGCAACGTCAACCTTACTCAGAGAACGAGAACTTCCTATCACAATCGCCTGACACTTCTTGGGGTTTACCGAAATGCCGAACCTTACCGACCAATTATTAATAGCGGATAAGTCGTTGTTAATTTTTGAGATGGCATACGGCAATCCGTCGAAGCTGGTCTGACAGTAAATCTGCAAGTCATCCGCATATAGATGGTACGCACACCGAAGCTCGGAAGTGATGAGATTAATAAAGATGGAAAATAAGAGAGGTGACAGTATACCGCCTTGAGGAACGCCAGCCTTTAATTCGCGCCAGTTAGATGAATTATCACCGTGCTTGACCACCTGCTGACGCTCCCGAAGATAAGAAGAGAACCATTCCAGTGACTCGCCCGAGACCATAAGGTGGGATAGGATAGCCAACAGGATGTCGTGACTGACCATATTGAAGGCATTCGAGAAGTCAACCAAAACCAGGACTGTGGCTTTGGTATCCTCAAAGCCGGTTCTAATATCGCCAGTCACTTTAAGGAGGGCGGAAGTAGTGCTGTGGCCAGGTCTGAAACCAGATTGTAGAGGACTAATCAGTGAATTCCGATATATGTAATTAGAGAGCTGTTTATGAACACAGGCCTCGAGCACCTTGGACAGGAATGGGAGTATGGATATTGGACGGAATTGAGAGGGAAGGGTGGGAGAAGAGGCTTTAGGGAGCGGATGGACAAAGGCTCTACGCCAGAGGGCAGGGAAAGTACCGGAATAAAGGGAAAAGTTGATGACATGGGTTATTGCAGGTAGGAGTTTATGATAAGGATCATATTATAAATAATGGAATATCTTATTAATCGACTTCCCAAAAAGGAGGAGCTTATCAAGTTTGTTGTATGTTGTTTTTTTTATGTTGCGCGATTACACCGTGTCTATGGACGGATTTGAATGATTCGTTTTTGGTTTTGATTTTACTCTCGAGGTGGTCCCATTTCCACCAGGTCAGGTCATGATGACCCATATGAGCTGTACATTTTTTTTTTGAGTGGGGGAAATCATCCAATGACTTCATCCGCCCGGGTGAGGCGAGAGGGAGTGTCCTGCACTTCGAGGCGGAGCCTATCGGCATCAGCCCTGTTGGGCCCCATCTGTGGTGGTCTGATGGCTCCTTGAGGCGCGCGCGGGCTTGGTTCCGATCGGGCGGCGAGTCACCCGTGCTCACCGTCCGCAGGCCCGAGCTTACGGTGGCCGGAGATCGTCTCGCGATCCCCGACGCCCGGTGTGTCTACCGCGACGGCTGGGGCGTATGTGGGCTGTACATAGAATAATAGCTTAGTACTAAACTAAAAAGTATAAAATAAAAATAAAAACTTCAAAAACTAAAACTAAACACACTCAACTACACTACTGACTAACTGACTCTACAGTCAACTTCAAAAACTAAAACAAACGAATAGCTATACTTCAAAAACTGAAAAGCAAAATCTAATTATTATTGGCCATACGTACTTATAGAAAGGAAGAAAGAAAATCCATGTATTAGGCCACGCACTACAAGAATACCCACAACAAGAATACACACAACAAGAATACACACAACAAGAATACACACAAAAAAGCCCATGGTGCGTCGTGGCGCAAAAGGCTGGAGCTCAGCTTAAGCTTGGAGCAGCTTTTTATAGATTATACACCCACCGATAGGTTAAAAGTCGATGCCACCACCTATAACAAAATACAACTTAGGTATATCTTCACACACACAGGTCACAAGTATATCTAAATAAATATGACTCAAAGGTGAATGACTGACTGACTGACACAGTGATCTATCAACGCACAGCCCAACCCACTGAACGGATCGGGCTGAAATTTGGCATGCATGTAGATATATGACATAGAATTTATCTGCTAAGAAAGGATTTTGATCATTTCCACTCCCGAAGAGTAAAATACGGGATGAAAGTTTGTATAAATCTTCTAAGCCATTGAACCTATTGAATCTATAACCATTAATTGATTCTTTTTGAAATTCGGTAAAACGATAATTTAAGACCTGGGAAATGATATAATTTAATATAATATATTATAATGATATAATATAATAATTGGGCCTCAGATAACCTCACTCACACAACGAAACACAACGCAAGCGTTGTTTCACGTCGGTCTTCTGTGAGGCCGTGGTGTGGTGTTCCTCCGGTTGAGCCGACCGATTCGTGCCGAAGCATGGCTCTCCCACACTTATAGCACAATAAACATAACATATTAATTTCACAACAAACACTCACTCAATTCTGATGAATTCTACCAGGAGAATTCTACACGGACAAAGCCGCGGGCTACAGCTAGTTCCTTATTAGAATTGTAAACAGCTTTAAAATGTTCGGATCTATTGAGGTTTTAATGAATAATTTTGTTTAAAACTTGTGTACATAGGTACTGTAACTAGCCGTGGAAATCTGTGATTATACAATTATAAATATATAATTTTAAAAAGATATTAATCTTATAATAATATCTTATTTGTACAGCATAATCCTGAATAAAAAGTAATATAGCTGTTTGTTATCCAAATTGAAATAAATAGATAAATAAAATATTCACAGATGACTGACGTTATTGCCGAATCTGTACTTGATGATGAGCATGGTGACATAAACAACGAATTTCATCAGTACCTCCACAAACAATATCGGGAAAAGCGTGTTCGTCCCGATATTGCGCATTCTGCCAACCTGTGTCGCCGGGAGGCAAAACAATGGGTAAGTCGGACACACATTGTTCCTCACTCGCAGTTACAGTTTGTGTCTTGCTCGTTCTTCTCCAGAATTCAGTAAATCCGTACTTTAGACGAGCAAATAACATCACATCAACCTCACGGACCGACGGACGACGCATACTGACAGTTGCTGTTTAATAATTAAGTACCTATTAAATGAATATGATTATTTTAAAAAAGATTATGGTAACCCATATTTTTATTGCGCGAAATGGGCATGACTTTCCACCTTAAAATCGATTTATAAAGCTAACTGAATGAAATGATTAAAATCTGAAGCAATACCCACATGTATATAAAAGTCAGTACGTATATATCTCTTTTCGATTATACATATCTTTTACTACTGATGAATAGCCATCTGTATCTGTAAGACACTGCAGTTTGATCGGTACCGTTGTAGTTATATATGCATCTTTTGTATTTCCTGTGGATTGAGTGCTGCACTCTGTCGGTCCAACCAACCTTCCTAGTTGTGAACTCATGTAGTTCGTGCTAGCGCGGCGGTATGTTAGCAGCGCACTGATACACAATATTGAATGGAGTGAATAATGGAATATTTATCAATTTGCAGACGTCTGGAACCGACCGTGCACCTGACGCTGAGCATGGTGACGGCAGCGGTCCGTCCGAGGTGACAAAGGATCCAGTGAGTTAAAACATTGTAATATTTCTATAAGTGCTTGTTCCGGCTGAACGCGCGGGTGCGATACTCACTCGAGTTCGGGTTCACTCAATAAGTTCGATGGTTGAACTTACCTGACACACACAAATGTCTTTAGACGTTTGACGCCACTGCGAGTGGGCCGAGCGCGCCAGTCGCTCGATTGCCCGCTACTTTCACAACACTTGTGTTTTGTACAAATTTGGATGTTATACCTAATTATGTTTGATATTTCGCCACCTCGCCCGCGAGTCAGCGTGAACAAGTATGAAGTCTTATGATTGTTTGTAAATGTTTGATAAATCAGTCTATTGTCTGATATTTTGATACTTGTTATCTTTCCTTCTATTAGTTAAAACTTTTGTGTTTTATAGTTAGGTACTCATGATTTCTAGAACCAGATTCCAGGCCCTCTGCCGGTTAGCGTCTGTGATCTTGTGTACCTAGATTATTTTCTGCTTTTTATATAAATAGCGAACTAACGAAAACAACATCGTTACTTACATATAATTTCTGCTTTTCCTCAGAACGAAAAACCACAAAAGAAAAGGAAAAATAATAGCAGTCCAGAGTATATGGAATACGAATTAAAAAGAAAAATATGCGACGAAAGTCGATCGGTATATAAAAGGAATGTGCAAGAACGTGATGCTATCAAACAATATATTATCATAAGTAATACACTTGAACAACTGCACAACCAAATAATCAAATATGAAAATATAAAACGTGCACAAGACAATGATTTGCTTAAATTTAAAGAAACAGAAAAAAGTTATGAGACTGAATTCAACAAAATTAAACAAAGACGAGCGCAGGAGCAGAAAGAGAGGCAAAAAGAACGCGAAAAATTTGAAACTAAAAAAGGTAAAATCGAAGAAGAAATACAGCAGCAAAAAGAAAAGTATGACAAGGAGAAAAAAGCGATGGATAAACGTCTCGAGAAATTGAAAAACGAATTAACTCAAGCAAAACGAGATTATGATATACAGAAGTTATTGAACGGATTTCAAACAGAAAAACTAAAAGTCGAAGAGGAAATACAGAAGCATAAAGAAAAGTATGACAAGGAGGAAAAACTGACCCAACAACGTCTAGAGAAATTAAAAAATGAACTAACTGAAGTACAAAGTGACGTACAAAACAAAATCAAAGAATTATATAACGATCTGTCTGCAGCTGAAAACCAAGCAAAACAGAAGGAGAAGGAATTGATTATGAAACTACAGGAAGTGAAAACTGAGGTAAAAAGAATTGAAGATGAAAAGAAAAAAGAGATTAACGAAAAAATTAAAAGTCTTAAACAAAAAGAGAGACAGGAGAGAGAGAGTGTGGAAAAAAGAATTGAACAATTGCAAAATACATACGATGGTAAAAAGATCGAGTTCGAAAACAACATGCGCATTTTACAATGCCAGGAGAATGAAATGGAAAATGAAATATATAACGAAATACAAAATTTGAAAGAATGTCAAGAAAAAAAAGAGGAAGATAAAAATAAAAATATCGAGGGCTTAAAAAACGCTTTAGCTCAAAGTATAGAAAAATTCAACAAAAATGTACAAAACATAAATCAATGCTTGGCAACGAAGGATAGTATAATAAGAAACGAAATAGAAAACAATAAAAAACGTGAAGCTAAGGAACGACTTGATATGGAGAACAAAATTAAAGATTTAAAAAACCAACTAGCTGAAGCTGAAACTCAAGCTAAGCAGAATATTGAGAGAATGCAACGAGAGGCAGATGAGAAGGAGAATGAATTTTATATTAAAATGCAAGAATTAAAAGCAAAAGAAAAAGAAATTAACAAAGAGACTGAGAAGAAAATTGGTCGTCTAGAAAAGACATATCAAGATGAAATAATCACAATACAACAACACGAAAAAAATGTGCAAAAGCACTTAGAATATAATATGCAAATTTTAAAACAAGAGGAGTTGGATAGAAAAACAGAGAGCCAGAATACAATTCTTGTTTTAAAAAAAAAATTTGCTACAGTTCGAAACGAACTAAATAAAACAATTCAATTATTAAAACAAGATGAATTAGAAAAGAAGCAGTTAGTAACAGCTGAAATTAAGCGTTTGCAAGATATTGAAGAAGACACAAAGGCTAAAATTAAAGCATTGGAACATCAATTAGCGAAACTTTCTAATAAAATCGAGAAAGAAGAACAAAGAAGTGCCAAGGTAATAGCTGAACGCCAAAAAGAAATAGAAACAGCTATGGAAGCTCAAAAACTTAAAAAAATTGCCATGGACCAAAATATTACTAATTTAGAAATTACACTAATTAAGCTAAAATCGGACGTGGAGGAAAGTTGTAAGATAAAAGAACAAAGAGAGCAAGAAATACAAACAATGAAAAACATTGAAACACAAAAGAAACAAGAGCTACAAAATATCATCAAAACATTAGAAGATGAGTTAACTGCATATAGAGTTCAATTCCATGAAAGCATTAAGTCGATGCAAATGCAAGAAGCTATAAAAACCAGGGAAGTTCAAACTGAAATTGAAAGCATGAGAGAAAGCAAAGCTCAGCAGGAAGATATTCACAGGAGGAATCTGAAAACATTACAAATGTCAGTGGACAATCAAAGGGAACAATTGCAGAGGGAAATTGAGGCTTTGCAGCAGATTGAGGCTGAAAAGACCCACAAGATAGAAAACGACTTACAAAACCTCCAAGTTACTAAGGAAAGGGTGCGCGCCGAGACCGAAAGCAATATCGCTGCGCTACGACAACATGAAGAGCAGACGAGAATAGAAATTGAAAATGAGATACAAAACTTCCGAGAACAAGAGAAGAGAGAGCGCGCTCAGATAAAGATCAACATTGCTGCACTTCAAGAAGATAAAGCGCAGAGACGAATGGAAATAGAAAGAGAGATACAAAGCCTCCGAGAAGATGAAGAGAGAGTACGTGCCGAAACAGCCAGCAACATCACTGCACTACAACAACATGAAGCGCAGAAGAGAAGGGAAATTGAGAGTGAGATACAAATCCTCCGAGAAAATGAGGCGAGAATACGCGTCGAGACTAACAGTAACATCGCTATTATGTTGCAGGCTAAAACGAATGTCCAAAGTAGTATAGCTCAACTCGAGAAACTTTATGGTGAGACAAAACAAGCGCACGAAGCAGATATTGAGGACTTGAAACGTCAAGAAGCTGAAGAAAGGGCTACTATTGAGGAGAATATTAAAGCGTTGCAAGATGAGTTGGTTTTGAGAAAAGAAGAATTTCATATCGTCATAGACTCTCTGCAACGAGACGAGGACAGAATACAGAGAGAAATCGAAGCTGAAATTGAAAAACTGGACGATGCTGAGACCAACAGGAGAGAAGAACACAATAAAATTGTCGATGATTTGAAGTTTAAGTTGTGCGAAAAGAAATCTCAATTACAGTCTAAAATTCAAAGTTTACTTGAAATCGAAGCTAAAACAAAAGAACAGATAGAGCGGCGCGTACAAGGTCTGGAAAAAGAATTAGCTAGAATTCAAGAACAGTTTGTGTCGTTGGGAGATATATAGAGGACACTTCCAAGCTCTGGAAGCTATACTAGCTGGGACCATGAACAGATAGTGTAATAAGCAGATGTTGGTTTTTATAATAACGCGCTTCAGTCTCTTTAATATTTTTATTGTTTACTCTCTATCTATCTCTGTCTAATAGAGTGTCTTGTAAGAAAAATAAACAATGCGCGCACTTACCGACCACGAAAACTCTGGTCATGGATCATGACCAGACTTCATGACTCCAACCATGACTCATGGTTCGTGTCGGGACAATGATGCAGATTATGAGCTAGAATAGTTTTAAGTAGTATAATGTTTCAAAATCGACATAATTATAGATATATGATAGTGTATGTTATAAGTTAACTAACTATGTATAGAATATTTTATAAAAGCTTTTTATTAAATGTTCCTTTTGAATCAGTGTTTTATTGAGAGTTGAAAATAAAGTAATTTCTTCATTTTTTAATAGAAATAATCCCAACGAGGCAAATAATAGTTATAGACTCCACTAAATTCACGTGCCATATAAAAACAATTTACTCATTTTAATAGTAGAGGTATTTTTTTTTTTTTTTTTTAAGGGGGAAAAAAATATAAATCATCGAATGACTGCCCCCGCCTGGGTGAGGCGGGAGGGAGTGTCAGACTCTTACTGACTAAAAACCACCCCGTTCCTTCTCCTGCACGTCGAGCCGGAGCCCCGGTTACCCGTTAGGTTCTCCGCGACTCCGAATCGGCATCAGCCCTATTGGGCCCCATCTGTGGTGGTCTGATGGCTCTTTGAGGCGCGCGCGGAACGCGACGCGCCGTACGCTCGGGTCTGTTTCCGGTCGGACGGGGAGCCACCCATGCTCGCCGTCCGCAGGCCCGCGCTTACGGTGGCCGGAGATCGTCCCGCGATCCCCGACGCCCGGTGTGTCCTTCGCGATGGCTGGGTTGCGAGGAGGCAGCGCTTCGCTGCCTCACGCGTCCCGCCTCCTCCTTAGCTAGCATGACTGCTTCGCAAAAGGAGGAGACGGCATCCCAATCCCCCTCGCTCCGCATCATGGCCTGCACTAGGCCCGGACGCGAGAGGTCGCCATCGCCGATCACTTCCCTGAGGACACGGCGGTGCTCAGCCCACGAAGGGCATTCTCCCACCGTGTGTTCCACCGTGTCCTCAGGGCGGTCCTCGCAGTGATGACACCCGGGCGTTTCCTCCCGCCCCATCAGACACAGGTACCTCCCGAAACTGCCATGTCCGGTGAGGACCTGCGTCAGGCGGTAGGTGAGGACGCCGTAGCGTCTCTCAAGCCACTCCTCAAAGAGGGGACTTACCGCTGCGATGGCAGCGAGAAGCTCGTAGTATAGGCGAGCGACGGAGCCCAGCTGATAGGGCTGCTACTTCTGTCTTCAGAGTTTGAAGTACCTAACGAATGGCGTTACCACTGCAATGCCATGATAGAATCCAAATTCTGTCCTATCTGTCTACCGTGCCTGGTTGCTCATATGTTCTGCTTCTTGGCTAGGTAGTAACTTTAATTGCCGTGCCAACTAAAAAAAAAAAAATTATGTGACAAGATCTGTAAACATGATGACGGTTTACGTTTCATTCTACGGGTTGATGTTGATTTTTCTAGAAAAACAAATTAATTACGAATTTACGAAATGGTTTCATGATGGTGTTGATGGTGAGTGGCGAAGTCCCTTGCTCTGCACATCCAGGAACCATGAATAGTTTTTTTTGAATCTTTATTTAATAAGAAGGGTTTTTTTCCGTAGAGGAAAATGTCAGCCCAACCATGAATAGTTACAACTTATTTCTTGATCTTAATTAATTAATTTATTTATAAGTATGTACGTGTCATATTCCTTACCTACGCAGTAGTTTATCAGTGGAGTGACGCATCCTGAAGCCGGCTTATTGATTGCTTTGCGGTAGTTTGAACGCAGTGTCCGTGCAGTTTAGGCGCTGTTTGTGAATTATTATTCATCGTTTAGATTTAATTACTTTATAAATAACAATATTTCTACAAATACAGGTGAGATAGGATTCAGCAACGTCTTCTTTGAATGTGATCCGAGGTAAGAAAATAGCTTTCGTGTAGTTAGATTTGTGAGATTATAAAAATCAGTTTTGTGAAAAGAGTAGGTAACGATGGAGTTTCTTGCTCGTTCTTCTCCATTCGAAACTACCCTTTGGAACGAGCACGTAGCTTCCCTAACAATTCATGTTGACATTTCGAAAGTGCCTAATCGAGGTTTAATTGAAATAAATGCTTTGACTCTACATGTGCCTCGGTCGTGTTGTTTAGTGATGCAAGTTTAGACGTAGTTTCTGTTATCAGTGTACCTAATAAATGCGTAGGCACTCTAGAAACTCTAATAGATTCGATATAGCCAGTACATAAGACAATATTATACAAAAGTGGTCCGTCCGTGCCATTGCAAATGCACTAGTCATTACTTTTATATTGTATTTATTTAAAACGTTGCCGCACACTCGGATTTCCTTCTGTGTCATGAGTGTATTCACAAACATACAAACTCACATACACACACACCCACACCCGGCACAACGATTTGTGCATCACACAAAGAGTTGTTTAATTCCTTCACTTTTAACTTTTCTGATTTGTTATCTTTTATAGGCATTCAGACCAACAAAGACTTTAAATAATGTAGATAAGGCGTCTCTACCCAATTAACTTTATCTTTACTGTAGGGAAGGACCGATAGTATAATCTGTAGTCTAGGGTACTCCCCGTACGTCGGTAGTGCGCTGTCAATGTGTCCTATTAATATTGTAAATGCGAAAGTTTGTATGTTGCTCCTTCACGTCCAACGGCTGAAGGGATCGGGCTGTGGAACAGGGGTACAATATGGCCCGGAACAATATATGATATAGGCTACTTGTCTACCACGGGGACGCGGGCGAAGACGCTGGCAGTAGCTAGTTTATGATGAAGATGAAATAAATACTGGAATATTTATTTATTGCCAGATGACTGAAACTCAAGCTGCGCGTGATGGTGAGCAAGATGACGGCAGTGGCCCGTCCAAGGTGATAGTGAGTTATAATTACATTATGTTTATCTATATTTATGTTACAGCTAAAGTGATTATTTTGATATTATTCATAATGACTGTCACACACTACACAATTTGGTCAAAGTGATAAATGATGCTGAATCAATCACATTGACTTGCTATTATGAGTGAAATCTTCGAAGACTTGAATAAAGTAATTAAACAAGTAGGTGTAGACGAGTAGGGCCGTTTTGCGATACGGCTGGAGGCTTAACGGATTCTGAATGTGAGACATTTTGTAATAAGTAGTATTGTCGATGTGAGACGTTTATCGTCATGGGTGTCGTTTACATGGTTTTCGAGGTCGATGAAAATGATGATGCTGTCAAAATGTAAATCCAAGATAGCCGCTTCCCGAAATTTTGAGTTTATCGTCATGGGTTTCATTTTCGTGGTTTTCGAGGGTGGTAAAACCGATGGTGCTCTCAAAATGAAAATTCAAGATGGCTGCATGAAATTTTTAATTTACCGTCATGCAAAAGTATACATTTTGTTTTCAGACGATTGACCTTAGTGCCGAATCTGCAAATGGTGCTCAGCGTGGTAACATATTCAACGAAATTCTTCAGTACATCAACGAACGATATGGTGAACAGGACGTTCCTCCGAATGTTGCACCCCTTGTCAACCTGTGTCGCCGGGAGGCAAAACAATGGGTAAGTCGAACACACATTGTTCCTCACTCGCAGTTACAGTTTGTGTCTTGCTCGTTCTTCTCCAGAATTCAGTAAATCCATAATTTAGAACGAGCAAATAACTTCACATCGACCTCACGGACCGACCGATGACGTACATTCGGACAATTGGTGATGTGCTATATTGTTTTTCTTTTTTTTTAAATTGCCCCACACTAGTGTTTTGTCCTGTCATGGGTGCGTTTACAAACATACAAGTTCACATACACGTGACACTCAGACCCGGAACAGTTTAGTAATTAAGTATTAATAATCATGATTAATGGGGATGATGACAGGGTATGAAAATTAAAAATGTAATTAGTCCGTCAGTTAGGTAATGAAAAAATATTAGACACGTATTTTTTATTTTGTTGTATAATAAAATTATACTTAGATATAACGAATCAAGGTTTAGGTGTGGGGGCGCGACATTTCAAATCAATTTATCTTCGAAACTATGCTATTCCATAAAAAAATTAAAAATACGTGTCTAATGTTTTTAAATAATCTAACAGACGGACATTATAATAAAAATTAGTCATCTACCCTATTTAAAAGAGATATGGTAACTCGTATATTTTTGCGGGAAATCTGCAGTCTTATCACCCGAGGCATGGCTTTTCCACCTTAAAATAGATTTGTAATACTAATTGAACGATAGATTAAATTTAAAAATGTATCTGAAACATGTCTCTTTCTCCTATATATATATATATAATAGGAGAAAGAGACATTTATACAGAGAGAGATATATATACAGCCATCTATATCTGCTCATAACTTAATAAGACACTATCGTTTGATCGATGCTTTTATAGTTATGTAAGTACCTTTTGTATTTCCTGCGCATTGAGTGCTGCTCTCTGTCGGTCCAACCAACCTTCCTAGTTGTGAACTCATGTAGTTCGTGCTAGCGCGGCGGTATGGTGTTAGCAGCGCACTGATACACAATATTGAATGGAGTGAATAATGGAATATTTATCAATTTGTAGACGTCTGGAACCGACCGTGCACCTGACGCTGAGCATGGTGACGGCAGCGGTCCGTCCGAGGTGACAAAGGATCCAGTGAGTTAAAATATTGTAATATTTCTATAAGTGCTTGTTCCGGCTGAACGCGCGGGTGCGATACTCACTCGAGTTCGGGTTCACTCAATAAGTTCGATGGTTGAACTTACCTGACACACACAAATGTCGTTAGACGTTTGACGCCACTGCGAGCGGGCCGAGCGCGCCAGTCGCTCGATTGCCCGCTACTTTCACAACACTTGCGTTTTGTACAAATTTCGATGTTATAATTATGTTTCATATTTCGCCACCTCGCCCGCGAGTCAGCGTGAACAAGTATGAAGTCTTATGTTTGTTTGTAAATATTTGATAAATCAGTCTATGGTCTAGATATTTTGATACTTGTTACCTTTCTTTTTATTAGTTAGAACTCTTGTGTCTTCTATTTAAGGTACTCATGATTTCTGGATTCTGATTCCAGGTCTTTGGCCTTATTTAATTTTATGTGCCTTGATTATTTTCTACTTTATATAGAAATAGCGAACTAACAAAAAACAATATCGTTTACACATATTTTCTGTTTTTTCCTCAGAACAAAACATTACAAAAGAGAAGAATAAATAATAGCAGTCCAGAGCATACGGAATACGAATCAAAAAGACAAAAATGCGACGAAAGTCGATCGGTATATAAAAGGAATGTGCAAGAACGTGATGCTATCAAACAATATAATATCATAAGTAAAACACTTGAACAACTGCACAAACAAATAGAAAAATATGAAATAATTACAGATGCACAATACAACGATAATAATTTGCTTAAATTTAAAGAAACAGAAAAAGGTTATGAAACTGAATTCAACAAAATTGAACAAAGACGAGCGCAGGAGGAGATGAAGAGGAAACGTGAAAGCGAAAAATTTGAAATTGATAAAGATAAAATTGAAGAAGAAATACAGCAGCAAAAAGAAATGTATGACAAGAAGAAAAAAATGATGGATGAATGTCTCGAGAAATTGAAACACGAACTAACTCAAGTCCAAAGCGATGTGGAGAAATTGGACAGCGAATTTGAAACCGAGAAAATTGAAATCGAAAATGTAATAAAGGAGCTAAAAAACAAGTATGATGTGGAGAGAAGACTAAAAGATGAGTGTCTCACAAAACTGAAAAATGAATTAACTCAAGCAAAACGAGATAACGATATACAGAAATTATTGAATGGATTTCAAGCAGAAAAACTGAAAATAGAAGAAGAAAAACAAAACCTAAAGGAAAGCCATGATAAAGTAAAACGGCACATGGATGAATCTTTCAAGAAATTGAGAAACGAATCAGCTTCACTGAAATGCGATATAGAAAAATTAGAGATACAATTTGAAACGAAAAAATTAGAAGTCGAAAAGTTAACTCAAGTACAAAGCGATATGAAAAACAAAATCCAAAAATTATATAACGATCTGTCTGCAGCTGAAAACCAAGCAAAACAAAATATTGAAGAAATGAAACGAGAGGCAGGTGAGAACGAGAAGGAATTGATTATGAAAATACAGGAACTGAACGATGCTGTGACCAACAGGAGAGAAGAACACAATAAAATTGTCGATGATTTGAAGTTTAAGTTGCGTGAAAAGAAATCTCAAGTAGAGTCTGAAATTCAAAGTTTACTTGAAATCGAAGCTAAAACAAAAGAACAGATAGAGCGGCGCGTACAAGGTCTGGAAAAAGAATTAGCTAGAATTCAAGAACAGTTTGTGTCGTTGGGAGATATATAGAGGTAGATAATATTACGACTACATTACAACAATTAATGAATAAACGCATCTGGATGTTAAAAGGAATAACGTTTGTTTTGACACTTTTGGTAATATAAAAGACGTATGTTTTCACAGAAATTCACGTGTTAAAACAAAAGATGTTCCGTTTAGTGTTTCAGGTTTTATGTTAATTTAATTGGGGGCTACCGTATTTTTACGCGGCAAATGGTGCAAATGCAAATGTAGCAAGAGATTTTTGTCCAGTCACTGCAGCTGTCAAATATTTAACGTCCAATGGTGTGACACTAGGTAATTCGCTATTGGACGATGAACGCGAGGATCACACTAGCGCCGTATAGTGAGCAGAGATACGGTAGGCCCCATTGCACATTGCGTACGATACTCTCATTTAAACGAGTAAAGATTTCAATGGTATTGGTAAGGGGTTTTCATTAAGACCTTGTAGGTAAGTATTCGCCGTTAAGAAAATTAGAAATTTAACAGACGTATATACAGTGGGTAATGCTGCTGACAATCTGTCTATCTTTGTTCTGCAGAAGAGGGCTATTCGATCAGTTCATAATCTTAGGCTAAGGCACTCGCTTAGAGACTTGTTTAAAGAAATAAAAATAATGACTGTAGCCTCTCAATATATTTATGAAGATATAGTGTAGGCTCATAAAACATTAGTTTATTTAAAAAGTATAATGATATACATAACATCAACACAAGAAGTAAAAGCAGATATGTTATGCCTTATGTGTGTTGTGTTTATTAATTAACCGACTTCAAAAAAAGGGTTGAAATCGGATTTTCTAAACGTAGTTTATATAAAAGAACTATTATTTAAGTGAGCAGCGTATGTATATTGTTTTTGAAGTAATCTTAGTGAATAGTAAACTTTGTATCCTAAGTATTTGCCGTTTCAATCCGTGGGAATCTTACATTATTCTATGATATACTTATCGAAAGTGTTGGCCTACCATAGCATTAAAAAAAACTGAGATCCCTAGATTGATTTTGGCTTCATAAAGAGTTTGTCTGTATAATTTACTAAATATTCGTAAATATTCTACTGTTTGTTAAAAATTATAGCTTTAGGGTCGATTTTTCAATCATCAGTTCATTAATTTTTAACTTTACAATAAAATTGACATTTGACAGTTATTAGTATGATAGAATTGTCAAATATTGAAAGTAATTCCAGAGTTAAAATTTATCTGAGCATTGAAATATTGGCCCTTAGTAGGTAGTGTGCTCCGACCATGTAACCACAGGGTATTGTGCATGTGTTGCCTCACCAACTGGTACACAATAACCGATGGTTGGTCAACAACAAACAAAATGTGCTATTCTGTTTGTATTATGCACTGAATTTGTATGTACTAGTACTACCTAATTATAATCGATTATTATATTGTTTTACTATTACTGCCTCGTTTTTATTATCTCTTCTCGTTTTTATTATCGTCGTATTGCAACTGCCTCTTGGCCAAGTGGTCGCAAGTGCGACTGCAGGGCAAGGGGTCTCGGGTTCGATTGTCGGGTCGGGCAAAGTATTACTGGGTTTAAAAAAAATCTCAGTAGTAACACGGAGTCTGCAATTGTGCTCGTTATATGGCAATAGGCTCACCCTCTTATTACATGGGACTCAAAACATAAATAAGAAAGTAGGTGTTACATTGTACAGTGGCAATAACTGCCGTAATGTGCACTGCCCTGCCCCTTCGGGAATAAAAGGCGTGATGTTATGTGTGTATATTACTTTGTATAGAGCATTGTGCAATTTTCAAGGTGGAAAGCTAAGAATTGGTATGCAGATTGGTATTTATTACCAGCAAAAGAAATCGTGCATGGTGCATGATTTCTTATTCTTTATTTTCTGTTAAATACCTTCCCTCAACCCCTTAAAAGACCGCGAACGAACGAACCCGCAGGCAGATGCTAATCCACGAATGAAATGTATTCAGTTAATTGAATTCGCATTTTTCTTTAAAATCCCTGATCTCCGATGCAACTGAATATTGATATTAGTCGTGGAAGTTTGTCAGTCTCCAATACCGATACCACCATATGGATTATGATGGTAAACGAGCAGATGGATTGCCTGATGGTAAGCAATCGGCGTCGCCCATAGACACCCGGAACACCAGAAGCGTTACAAGTGCGTTACTGGTCTTTTGGGGATTGGGAATTTGATCGGGGAGGGGAGGGTAATTGGGCCTCCGGTTACATCACTCGCACGACGATTGATGAATATTGATACCTTGATAGAGATTAACACAATCTATATAGATATAACTAGCAAACCCGGCGAACTCCGTTTCGCCACCAGATGCTTCGTTTTATGTAACATTTCATTTAGTGATTAAAAGATGAAGAAATTTTATTTTTTATATTTTATAAACCTCACGGAGCCCGAGACCTTTGAAACGAATGCAAAACCGTGGAAATCGTGCGTTCTGGAGTTATAGCGTCAGGAAGGAAAACCCGACTTATTTTTATATACCTCTAGTAGATAAATAAAATGGGAGTGTGTTTGTAATATGGAAATAACCGCTTTTTACTACATGCATATTATGAACATACATATGATTTTTTTAAAGGGGTGAAAATTATCGAAACACTGAGGGAGTGTCAGACTCTTACTGACCACATAAATACGATACATGCACTGTCTATTTGTACTGGTTAAGCTCCGAAATGACTGGACCGATTTTGTCGGGACTCTTATTGACAGGTAGCGAATGTACTAAGGAGTTACATAGGATACTTTTATTTTAGAAAAACGCAGACGAAGTTGGGGTTTCAGCTAGTAATATCAAAGGAATCGATTCATAGTTTACGATTCATTTTAAATCGGTCAAAAAACTGTAAAAAAATATTAAATTACGACTTCACAAGCTAATATACTGGAATTAGTTTATTAGAAAACTCTAGCAATAGGTTATAAACATACTAGCTTTTACCCGTGGCTTCGCTCGCGTCACAAAAGGATAAAAAGTAGCCTTAGTGACATATACCACAATACACACAGCGCCATCTATACCAGTAGTTTCGTTTTCCCTCGAGAATATCAAATTATTCCGGGATAAAAAGTAACCTACTATTTAATCCAGACTTCTAAATTCACGTCTGCAAAAATTCAATGCAATCGGTTCAGTAGTTACGGCGTGAAAGTGGAACAAACAAACAAACTCACTTTCCGATCTATAATATTAGTAAGATTAGATTTTTGTATAATTATATTAATTTATATTATAACTTTCGTGAGGCATACTAAATAAATCATTATGTTTTCGGCTTACTCACGTAATTATTTGACGAGGAACTCGACTAGTTTCAAGCCATGCTTTTTTTTTAAGGGGGGAAAATCTTCGAATGACTGCTCCCGCCTGGGTGAGGCGGAAGGGAGTGTCAGACTCTTACTGACTAAAAACTACCCCGTTCCTTCTCCTGCACGTCGAGCCGGAGCCCCGGTTACCCGTTAGGTTCTCCGCGACTCCGAATCGGCATCGGCCCTATTGGGCCCCATCTGTGGTGGTCTGATGGCTCTTTGAAGCGCGCGCGGAACGCTACGCGCCGTACGCTCGGGTCTGTTTCTGGTCGGACGGGGAGCCACCCATGCTCGCCGTCCGCAGTCCCGTGCTTACGGTGGCCGGAGATCGTCCCGCGATCCCCGACGCCCGGTGTGTCCTTCGCGACGGCTGGGTTGCGAGGAGGCAGCGCTTCGCTGCCTCACGCGTCCCGCCTCCTCCTTAGCTAGCATGACTGCTTCGCAAAAGGAGGAGACGGCATCCCAGTCCCCCTCGCTCCGCATCATGGCCTGCACTAGGCCCGGACGCGAGAGGTCGCCATCGCCGTTCAAGCCATGCTAGAGGCTCATGTTTATGAGCACAATTTCGCGACTACTACTGCTACTGTAACTAGTCGAGTTCCTCTCGAATTTATTTGGTATCAATTTAATTATAATATGTGTAATAAAGTAGGTAATTATGAGCAAGAAGGGTCTGCGAGTTATGAGCAAGACGGTTATAACCAACAAAATGGTTGAATATTTAAATTCTAATTCATCATCTGGTTCCTTTAATCGTGTACACTATTCTTGTATGTGGATATTATCGGTTAGATAATTCAGTCGACATTTCCATAAGACTTTATCACTACCATATCTCTAGTGACACTTCAAATTAAATAGCAAATGACATGTGATACGTTAATTTGAACAAAACTTGAACATATTATACAAAACAAAACGTTCCTCAAGGATTATTCTTCGTGTTGTTGAAAACTGTACGAGAATCAGACTCGTATTTTTCGAGTTTATCACGAATAGACAGACAGACGCGACGAGGGACTTTTTTATTTTTGTAGTGAAATGAAGATATGTCCTGAAAGTATGCAGAAGTATGCAGTATGGAGTCCATGTTTTTTTATGGGATAAGTCAGTAAAAGAGCAGACGGATCACCTGATGGTAAGCAAAGCGTCGCCAATGGACACCTGGAACACCAGAGGCGTTACAAGTGCGTTACTGGTCTTTTGGGATTAGGAATTTGAAGATTGTTAGGGACTCAGGGATTGGGAAAGGGAGGAGGGGTAATTGGGCCTCCGGTAACCTCACTCACACTCACCATGTTGGTAAACTCGACTGATTATGCTGTCGCGTGCAGTTCACGAACCGCATGCTTGCGTGTCCCGAATTGCATGTGTGCCTCTCAGCCGTGTAATGTGGACTGCTCCTGAAGTGTTACTCACGCTAACATTATTACAAATACTACATACATACCACACAACGGTACACAATTATCGTCGCACCTGTCTCTCATAGGAGTTAGATAGCAATTATTTACTCAACTTGGGGTAGCTCGAACGTCAATGCCAATCTGTCAACGTCAAGTATCAAAAGCCGTTTCATGTCATCGACAATTTTTTGACGTGACAACGTCTTATAAATTGGTTTGCCGGGTGACACTTCAAGAAACTGCGTTACGCTCCGCTCACGTTATGCGCTCACAAT